CCTAGAGCAACAGATAGCACTGAATAAGTTGCGTTGGCTCGGGCACGTGCTACCTATGCCTGGTCACCGCTTACCTAGGAGGGCCTTGTTCAGTCTACCAGGTGTAGGATGGCGCAAGGCTCGAGGTGGACAGAAGTTGACTTGACAGCGGGAAATGAAGTCACTGACGACCAAACTGAGTGCCGTTGGTCCGTCTCGCCTTCAGGGTTGGAGTCCACGTGACTCACCTTGTGCTTGGCTCGAGACTTTGCAGGACATGGCTCGCAACCGACACCAGTGGCGCGTCTGCTGCCGTCTCCTAATAGGATTGTCTGTTTAAAGTGTGTTTGGTGCTATCTGCGGGGTAATGGCTGATTATGACGCGTGGCAGTGAAAGCCGCAATGAAGCTGTCTCGCCGAATCCGCCTTATCTTTGCACGATAGCCAGCTGTTTGTGACGGAATGTTGTCTACACAAGGTGTAGGCGCCTTGACCCAGAATGTTTGCTTAGGGCATTACGGTTTTCAGGTAAGTCCCATTCTCTCCCTCTTCTTATTCTTTATTTCCTTGGTCCTCATGGTTTTGTGGCAGCGAAGCATCAGTTCAAACGGCTGATGTACTGCTGTTGATGATGATGATGATTGACACATTACGACCCAACCTTACTCAATTTGGTCGCTGCCGATGACTTCAATTAAGGAATCGGAGCATTCCACTCGCTTCCAGCCAGGAGTTCCAGCGGGTGATGACCGGTGCAGGTGGGCCAGTTGGGTTATCCACGCCGTCCTGAGTTAGATACTCCTGTAGTCACGCCTCTTTCTTCCCGAAAGACGAAAAACACCTTTCATTTTTGCAACGAATTCGTTGACTTCCGGAGCGAATTTGCGAATGGTCTCCAATCAAGTTGATGCTATGGACAACACATCTTATGTAGACTGAATCCTTAAAAACAAGCTTAATGACATCTCGGTAGCATTCTGTCATATATCTAGCGCCATCGGACACGAAGGCCGTCACACGACTGAACTCTATACCCATCATTATCAAGCTGCGCAGAATGGCTCCTCCAACTGACAGAACTGACTCTCTCTATATTGACCGTGTCGATGAGGTATGTTCGGAGACTGTCCTTGTTGGACTTCAATGGTACGCATAACAGGATGTGTAGTTTCACATTTCTGTAATCATCGGTTGTTTCGTCTGTTATAACACTGATGCATTGGCTATGCAACCGCTGCTACGCTGACGTTTGCGTGGTGCGGCACTTTCTTCCGAATGTACTTTGCGCACTCCAAGTGCGAAATGCTGTTGCTTGACTGGGCGACTGGCCTTCGGTGTTAGCTCTTACTGAGCAGCTACTGTATGTGTTAGATCCATCCACTTCCCTTGGTAGCTGTGTCGTCTCTGGTGGTCACCTCGCTGTGGAAGTTACTTCGCGTATCAGCGGGGCCCGTGTGGTTTTCCTGAGGCTCAACCATCTTTGAAGACGGCTTTTTATCGGCTTGTCAGTGACAGGTAAGGTGTATAACGCTGCAGGTAGCTCGATGTTGCTATATTTATCAGAGACCTGACCAGTCTGCGGCAAAGGCATTAAACGCGTAGTCGTCTTTGACCACCGTTGCTTGCGAAGCATCGCTCACGTTTGGTGGGAACACCGGGTGAGCAATGCTGAGGTCCGCCTGTTTGCTTTTGGCCAGCAGACTTCTGTTGCCTCTCACGCGTGTTTGATAACCCTTACTCGCTTGCATCGCCAAGGCCATGTCCTCCGTATGCCCGTTGATCGGCTTCCTCAGCACGCAATTTACTCCGTGGCGGCACGAAGTTGGTCGAAACCGCGAGGTGGCCAGCCCTTGGCGTGACATAGAAGCTTGAGTAAATTGATTGCGGGACTCGGTCTGGCGGGTGCGTGCCGTCGTCGTGAGTGGCGGCTTTGTACTGATCCTTATCAATGGTTGGAGACCGTGTTAAACATGGCATATTCACGCAATCAGTGGTGTTCCTTCATTCGGTTCCTTGCATCTATGTGTTAATTTTCGTTCCATTCTACTTAGTCTACCGCATTTCTTTCTCGCTTTCATTTTCTCTACTTTTTATTTTCACCCAACGCCACTATCCTACTGATGTTGCTCTTTGTTTTTCTTACGGTGTGAGTCGTGGTAACTGAATCCACTTCACTTCAATGCTTGAATTACAGTTGATCAACTGAATTTTTACAAACCTTGTGATTTGCTCCTTAATTACTTGATGTTCTCTTGGACGGTATCATGCATCAACCTCGATATTGTTTTGTTAAGCTTTTCATAGCCTTGTTATTACCGTACTATTGGAATTCGTGTCAATCTGTACGTAACCGTAGCCCACAGCAAATTCTGCTTGATGTACACTTTGCTGATCTGCGTTAGGTTTAAGCTAACCTTAGTAAGTGTGCGCGTTGTTTGACCTCAAGCGGAATGTCGCTTGCATCCTCCTTGGTCGAACACAGCTGCTATACGAACGCTACCTGATAGGATGATATGTAGCGATGCACTCTCCGGTATGTGTTTCTCACCTTCGAACTGCGAATTGCTGTTACTGGACTGTGCCGACTTCTCACCTGTTTTCACTGTCAGGCAGCCGCCGGAAATTGTCGATCAGCTTGTTTATCTAAGTAACTGTATGACGTGTGTTGATTGTATCAACGAACGGGCTACTTCACGCCTTGCCAATGAGCGTGCTGCTTTTCTAGGCTTTGGACACTTATGCAGGCAGTAGGAAGCACGCATTTTGATTAAACAGAGCCGGTTTAGCTGGTGCACTAATTGCGAGTCTAAAAGACGGTTGGATGCCGTGACAAACCTTTGTATCTGTTGTAAAAGTGTCCCTGTATATTTCTATTGAAATGAAACTGGTACGTTGCATTTATAGCTATGTGGAATGAAGCGGTGTGGCGGCGTGGTGGAGTCTACCTGGGACGCCGAACCAGAGTGGGTGCTCGGTGAAAACAAACTGCCTCAACGAACAGTTTACCACTCAGCACCGGTTGCTTAAGTATGCTATAAGAGTAATTTTAGTTAGAGTCTTACACAATGAAATCAGACAAAGAGAGAAAGTCTCCAGCGTGTTACAGAACTGGGCGATTAATCATCATCATAGTCAGTACACGTTAGCCGAAGGTAAGAGACACACCTCATCTAATATGCCAAAATGTAAAAAGATAGGTTAAACATTAAAGACTACAAAGCTGTAGAAGTCACATTGCTAAATATCAATATGCATAGGGTTTGAGATCGTCGTTCGACGGGGAAGCTAAAGGAAAGAAGATGGACAAAGAGACACAACACAATTACCACTTAAGTAGGCTCTTCGCCATTTCTGTTAATGTATCCAACCAAACTATCTTTCGTCCCTCAGCCAGGCAGTCGGGAAACACCAACTGGCGCCGACTTCGAAGTCAGGGACTTCATTCCACTTGACCAAGTCATCGCTTGACCTTCCCTCTTTTCATCCAGACCACGGACGCGCAAACAACGCACGACACGGGAGTCTGTGTGTTGGCATGCGAGCGAACAATACGGAAGTTCGTCACGTGGTGTGTGTTTTATTTGAGTTCCTGTGAAACTCGAATTGTCTCTTTTGGTTCGGCCATATATTTCGCATTCCTTCAAGCCAACTACTTTGGCCTGTCTGGTTTGCTGATACCGCGCGTACTTTCGTGATACCCCGAGGTTACTAGCCATGGACATAGCAGCTGAGCATGACAACGCCGATTCTTGTTGTCCCCTTTGGGATCTTCGGAACTAGCCACCTCATTACTTGATCATCTCATAGAGTTTATCGTGGTAACAGAACCAGTGTCATCCTTGCGTTTGTTCCCTCGCTTCTTGCCCATTTCATCTGATGATTTAAGTTACTATTCACCTCTCTTCAATCATTATTCTTGCTATCATAATCGTTTATGGTGACGTTTATCATTGAATCCGGATCCACCGCATCTCGGTGCACGGATCAACGTCGATGGACTCGGCTGGACTGATGTCGGAGAATCGAGGAGGGCGACAGTCCTCACGTAACACAAATTATTCTTTTTAGTTTGGCTGTAATATCCAGTACCACTAGCTTTCTTGATTTTCATCACTACACCATGATGCTACACAAAGTGAGTTCCGATTGGGCACCAACGCAATTTGTTCGACATACTGCATGATCGGCGGTTGGAGTTTGCTTTCAATAAATATGCGCAGTTTTCCTACTGTACATCGTTTTTCGCTTACACTTTAGGCTTTGTTGTGACGATAGTTGTCATTTAACTTCTTCCGAGCAACTCATCTTTATTATTCACTTTTCTGGTGCCTTACCGTGGGTCTTAACATTACTATTTATTTAAATGGGCTGTTTCGCTTTGGTCTCTTAATGCAATTTGGCATACCAATGCAGAACACATGGATTTTCATTGTGTTGTTGCGTTTTGATTTAGGTTCATCTCATCATCACCTGTTGTGCAATTTACGCAAGGAAAACCGCGAGGCTTCCTCTTTCGTCCCACTCCCATTTGAACTGGAACTAATTACGCGGACCCAAATTCCCTGTCCTCCGTTTTTGTCAATGGTGACATCACTGACTTATTATGCTCTATTAAGGTCATTATTTATTGGAAATGCCTTGCTCCTTAGCTTCTTCATTTTCGAACTCTCGTTGATTTTGTACAAAAATCTCTTTCACTTATTCGGTTCTGGTATATTTATCCAGGAATTTTTCATATTAATCTTGTGGTTTTCATCTGAACAGTTAAGATCATTCCTTTGTTTGGTTGCATGCAGATATAGAAAGAACAGTTTTTCTGCTGGATTACTGTTTCTGTATTTGCCCTCCGTTTTTGGAATCATCCATATTTTCCGTTACCAGTCTTTTGTCCTACAATTAGAGCTAATTGTTTGCTATCTGCTACTCTGCATCTTCGGCCTGCAGTTTTTGTCTCAAGTCCTCACAGTTCTGTACGAAACCCAGAATTCTACATCTGACTGATACATTCATCAGCAGTGAATATGTACTTGGTGTACACCCGAACATCAAATGAGCTCAATGAACCATCCAGCTGGAGTCTGTACACAGCCCTCGTTGCTTGTGTTGGAGTGGGCAATGTCTCGCAACTTGCTTGTGATTTGCTTATCCACACCCTACATCTCAAGCCTATTGCCGCTTTATACTTCCAGTCTCTTCCTGCAGTGGTTGGCGCTAACCCGTATTCCAGTCGGTCGACAGCTCCTGTATTAATGACTTCACAGGTCAGTTTCATCCGTATGAAAATTCGCTTCGAGCATCACAGTTGATCAGCAATTTTTATGACATTTTTTGATTCATGCTAACGATATCCTCAAAGTCATTGTAACTATGTAACATAACCGAGACTAAGAACGCAACTTAGCTGAGTGCAACGGGCTGTTCCACAGTTTAAAGCAGATGGTCGAAGGTGATGACTACAATGCTCGCTATCATTGAACCGCTTTTAGCCACCACGCCTTAGGTGCGACATAATTCCATCGGTTTCGTTGAGGCAGCAAATATCACCAGGACTGTGCCCATGTCCTGGTGACACAATAGATGTTTTTACAAATTGTTATTTACTACATTGCTTCACTTTCACAAACGGTCAATCCTACGATATTTACAGGGATATGCCGCCCATTTAAAGTAATGCCTCTAGATCGTTTCGGTCATCCACCTTACATCCGTGAATCCAACTGCTTGAATCACGTTACTACGTTCATTCTAGTTGGGAAAGTTTACAGCAAACTTAACGACCCGCATTTTCCGCGATGATGAAACATGTCTTCCGCAATCAAACTCGAAAATCCCGCGAAATGTTTGCGTCGCAAACATTAAATTCCGTGATTTCACCGCGAAAAAGAAAATAAACAGAAATCAAGGCACCTTCATCCACTATATAAATGTCAGTAATGATTCAAAACAGTGAAGTTAAAACAAAGCCCAACAATGTGTTTCGTGCTACTGTCTGAAATGTTGTGTCACTTGTCAGACACAACATTTTTGTATGCACTGAAGCTCTGTTCAGCGTCTACCGAATTCATGGCGATGCATAGATAACGGCCGGCGATGTCTACCAGTTGTGGAGTTCTTTCATGCATCCTGCACCAGAAGGCCAACGTGTTTTCACATTTTTCTCCTTGAAGTTCTTCCACCACTTTTCGATAGATTAACCACTCGGCTGCCAGAGCTGGGGAGCTAACGAGGCCTGGAACATCGACATAGTTGCATGGATCACTGGACAAGGTGATAGACTCGTTGGGGTCGAGCACTAATGGCTTTCAAAAGCGGCCACCTAGCCTGTGATATTAGCCACTCCTGGGTTTTCACGGCAGCTTGGGATGAGCAGAGCTGCATGTTAGTTTGGATTTTGCTGGATGCATCAAAGGCTAGACCTTCTGTCTGCAAATGTTGCAGCCATTTGTTTCAGTGGCAGTTTCCAACAACATGGATAGATCGGAGAGGTCGTTGTAAATCTTATGGGTTACCGGAGACAGTGATTCGGCACTTTTCAGATGTCGGCTGATGTTCTTCCCAACAGTCCTAATGCAACACAGTTGTCATCTCAAAGCTTTTTGTGTTGTTTCCTTGGTTAGAATATCCATCAGTTCGCAAGCACCAACTGTCTCCAAACTCATGTTGTACGACGTAACATGGTTGGGTAGTGATGGAAATACTTGCTATGATGTGCGACAGCTTCCAGCCAGGAGTTCCAGCGGGTGATGACCGGTGCAGGTGGGCCAGTTGGGTTATCCACGCCGTCCTGAGTTAGATACTCCTGTAGTCACGCCTCTTTCTTCCCGAAAGACGAAAAACACCTTTCATTTTTGCAACGAATTCGTTGACTTCCGGAGCGAATTTGCGAATGGTCTCCAATCAAGTTGATGCTATGGACAACACATCTTATGTAGACTGAATCCTTAAAAACAAGCTTAATGACATCTCGGTAGCATTCTGTCATATATCTAGCGCCATCGGACACGAAGGCCGTCACACGACTGAACTCTATACCCATCATTATCAAGCTGCGCAGAATGGCTCCTCCAACTGACAGAACTGACTCTCTCTATATTGACCGTGTCGATGAGGTATGTTCGGAGACTGTCCTTGTTGGACTTCAATGGTACGCATAACAGGATGTGTAGTTTCACACTTCTGTAATCATCGGTTGTTTCGTCTGTTATAACGTTGAAATAGCTATCACGGAACATCTCTTTCCAAATCTGTTTATGTTTCTCTAGAGTTGAAACCATTTTAGCCCCTGCACGTCAAATCCGGCGATGCTTCCACAATTTTTTCTTGCCCATGAGAAAATGTCCTCAAACGGGGGTTGTCGACCTTGTCTAGTGGAATATTCCCAGATACCATAGCAAGTAGGAGGTCAGGTGCCATTTTTTCTCTGGCTTCCTGGGCAGCATTCGAAACGGCGATCGAACTGACGATGCTTGCTAGTGAAGCTTTCTTTGGAGCTGATTCCCCTTGGTTACAGGTTTAGCTGCTTGCTTCTCCTTGTAAGCCCTCTTCTGAAGATTCTTCTGGCTGCGAATGTGGTCAACCACGGTTGGTTTTCGCAATAGATCAACAATCACATCACACTATGAACGAAGCAGTAGTTTTGTATCCTCGTTATCCAGGAAACGCGTTCACTTTATGTCGGATTGTTTTTCCTCCTGCATGCTGTTTCCTTTTCTGAGATGACATCTGCAAGATATAAAACCTTTTGGTAATTGTAAGTAGCAGATTTACGTGGTTCTAGCGTAATGCGTCAAATGAAAATTCATTAATTACAAACCTCGACAGTAACTGCTCAATACTGGCACAACAGTATCTTCACGAAGTACTCAAACGGGGTACAAATCACTGTTCTCACCACTATACTAACAGGTGACGACGACTTCAATCTTTCAGCGAATTAACACGGCCACTTGTATTGCCCCGCCGATTCCTATGCGACGATGTGGCGGCTGTTCAACGTCTAAGAGGCAACGGCGTATCAAATTCACGGTTGACCATAATGGGGGGCGATGGGTTCCGGCCAGACGCGCAAAAAGTGTGACCGAACGGATCTCGAGCAGATTTAATGTACGTGTGGGCAAAGGGTTTTGCATAACAGGCAATAGAATGAGCGCACAACGTGGACAGACAGATGTGAAATAGTTGCTCAATGGATGGATGCGTGGGTGACACTTGGGTTTGGGACTTGGATAACCGATGTTGGACAGATGACAGTGCCGACACTCCAGAGGAAGATCCCATAAGCCAGCTGGCTGCTTTGGCATGGATTACAACGGAAACGAATTCAAAGTACCTTTCCTTATGAATATCCTTTTTTTCCGCGATGTCGCGAAATTTTTCATTTTCTGCGATAGTTAACAAATTCCGTGATTTTTCTGCGTTTCGCGGAATCGCGGAAAGTTCGGGTCTTTAAGCATGATGGAGTATTTGTGGAGGTGAATTCAAAAATAGCGAACTAAAACATCCATCCATCACGCGGAATGGTCAACGATCTACATAACGAGGTTTTTTATTTCTTACTTTTGTCTGCCATTGTTTTTTCCATTGTGCAGTCGACTCTGGAGCGATCATCTACGGGTACCCCGACCCATTTCCTTCTGTTATTTTGCTCCTTTGTCTTCTCATGGACCAGTCACTTTGGAGTACTGCTCTACTCGATGCATTATTGGTACACAAATCGCACCGCAGTAGGTGTTCTGCTAGCGTGCAAATTTCCCGCCTTTGACCCCTACATCGAAGTGCAGTTGATACAGTTGCATTACATCTGCCAAAAAAAGAAAAAACCCGAATGAATTAGGAAACCTGGAAGGTTTATTTCGATAGGCGTAAATAAGAGTCATTCCTTCGAAGTAGTTAGACGTCAGAATCAAGGGATTTAGTACGAAAGCATCACTTAGTTATTGCGCCCTATCCACTGTGGCCTCTAACAACGGTCTGGCCGATCCCGAAACGCCTATACTTGCGGACGATGGGTCTCTGGATACTTCGGAAACCCGGTGGTTATGTCTGTGGACCATACCGAAACAGTGCTTCAAACTCTACTCTGGCCGGGATTCTGCCATCTTTCCGTCTACATGGATGCCGTTACTACATGTCACCTGTTGCAGAACTCAGCATTCAGGGACGAACGGTTTATTCGACATAGCAGGCTGAGCAAAAATGACGGCATAACCAGCATGTAGAAACCTCGATGTAAATAACTATATCAATATCATAGCTAACGACGCTTCTGCATTCATTAGATTCTTCCGTTGAATCACTTAAACAAACCCTTCTCCAGCCAAATACGAACCAATCAGCGTATAGGGGAAATATGCATAGACGCCCAATCAACTACTCTGTTCGTTTACTTTGCCATGTAAATCCGTGTCGTTCTGCTTGCACGATCCCAGCACATCACCCACCCTCTCAACCTCAGGAGAGAGCCCGAATTCGAAGGTTTCCACCCGTCATCCGAATTTCTGGCCTGCGATTCGGTAGTACCAAAGTGTCCTAGGTCGTCAACTGTCACTGACAAGTAAGGTGGATCAATTGCTTGTTGGATACATTTGTCTCCAGTGCGTCAGGGAGCATGCTGTTAGTTCCACTTGTCCACTTGACTTAAAATTCTGGATGCTGGATGGGTTTCTGAAGCATGGATAAGTTTGGTTAAAACAAACCTTTCTTCAGTTGAGAAGCCTCTTTAGACAATGCCTTAACCAGCCTGAAACCGGGTGGGACTAAGTGTTCTTGGATTGATCCAGAATCGTGGATTGATGACGAAGATGCTTTGGACCACTAAGAACGCTTAGCTACTAAGTAACCGTACCGTTAATATTACAGAAACGCGTACGATGGCTTTTTTTAACCTTTTTTATTATTTGAAAAGCAGTCCAGCAGGCTTGTTTTGTCAGCATCGGTTGCGGCATTATCGGGGTCCTTTGTGTCGTACCTGCTGCCTTCTGAGAAATCCTATCTTTTAAACGGGAGAATGACTACTGACGGAACTGGGAATGACGTTCTCCATCGAATCGGGAAAATGTGTACTGGTGGCCGCTCCTGGCAAACCTGTATGTTCGTCCTGCACTATTTTCGAATGTTTATAGATATCCAACTCAGTTTAGCAGAAAAGGCTTTCATTCAGATTATTCGGACTCACTTACAGCTCCTTGGTGGGGACCAGCTGGAAGTCGTTCAAAAATTCAACTACTTGGGAAGTTGTATCAGCGCCCTTGGGATCGAAGAC